AAGAGCAGAAATTGGCAATGTTGGAATTAGTTCAACATACCTACTTTAGAGGTTTGGAGCATCATTTTGAAGGATAAAAGACAAAAGAGTGAAGCTAAGACTTGGTCATGCTAGTATAAGTATTGATAAAGATTGTGAAGGGGTGGGATGTGAGGAATGGCACTTGCTAGACGTCAAACTAGATGCTCGAAGATTGTATGGAAGCATCATCGTTGACTTGCACAGGAAGTTACCTTTCTTAAGAAAAAAAAAACAGTTTTTCCAAGGACCCTCTTACCTTTTTGTATTAGGATTCATTTACCTTTCATTGTCCTAATTAGTATAGTTTACCTCATCAGTCTAGCAGTGTCATTCAAGTAGTTGATAGCCACTTAAAAGGGCTTAAGTCGAGTTGTAAAGCATAATCTTCTTTGGAATTGAATTTGAACCTTGTTCATTAAGTTTCACTTGCTCTTGTTGTTGGTGGATTCTAATCACACGAGTAGCTTCTATATTAATAGAGTTTTCCCCTCGATTTTGATCATGTAACTACCCATATTGATAGAGTCCTCTATCTGGTTTGAGATTGCACCTCAATTTCGTTTTACCTTGGCCAAATAGCTTGGTTATTTGGTTTTTTTTTTGTTCGAGATTCATTGATCAACCAAACCCTTGCTTGATTGAGTTAGGTTGTGCAATTTGCATTTGCATCCCTGACGAATTCTTTTGTCGTGAACTCGAATTTGTGATTTTAAGTAGTCGCTTACGATGAGGAATGCTTTCCACATCCCCCTGTGTGAGCTCATTTGAATTGGGATCCTCTGAAGATGTGTCTCGTTTAGGAACCGAGCTCTGACAATGGCATCTGAGGCGTCGTTTCAGCTGACCTCATTTTTGAATTTCATCTAACAAGTTTTTTCTTATGTCACTGAATCGTCGCATCATAGCTGTCCCTCCTTTTCTATTCTCTATATAAATGGATGGCTTTGCATCTTTCCTATCGTCTTCATATTTTTTTTCGTTCTTCCTCTCTTTCTTTCTTCGCTGCAAAATTCTTCCTCTGCCATCATTGCTCTCTAGTCCAAAATTTCCCTATCTTCTTAATTTGATAGCCACCCTCTTCCTTCTTTCTTGCTTCACTGCAAAATTCTTCCTCTACCACCGCCAATACTGACTTCTCCACTGGCATGTATTGGTTTTCTGCAGGGAGAAACGCCTTGCTTACATAGTAATTGGACGGTCCGAGCCATCTTACGCCTTCCTTACTAACACAAAGCTAACTGATTACTTTGATACTGCCAAATACAAGTAAAGCAGCTCTCCATTGATTGGGGCTCTTAACACGGGAGGTGAGGCTAGTTGGCCTGTTAGCTGGAAAAAATCTTTATCGCATTGCTCTCCCCATTAGAGTCGGGATGCTGAATTTTTCAACATTGGGAAAAAGGGGGAGCACTTGCCTGTTGACCGTGTGATAAACCTGCTTTGAGCGGCCATCTTTCCATTGAACCTCTAGATCTCCTTAATTGTCTTCGACAGTGTTAGGTTGAGTATTGCTTCTATTTGCTTTGGGTTTGCTTCAATTTCCCTCTTAGTGATAATGAATCCTAAGAACTTTCCAGCTTTTGCTCAAAATATGCATCTAAGCGTGTTTAAATGGAGGTCGTCTCCTCATGTTTTTGAAGGTTTCCTTTAAGTGTTCAAGGTGGTCACCGACCTTCATACTCTTCACGAGGACATTGTCCATGAACGTTTTCCACATTCCTTCCCAGAGGGCTTTCGAAAACTGCATCCGTCATTCGCTGGTATGTTGCTCCATAATTTTTCAATCCAAACGGTGCTCGGCTAAGTCTCGGGAGATGCTTGGCATGAATTCAGAACTCCACGTAAAGAGGTCTCTGTACTCTCTAAGAAGTATCAAGAGATTCCTTGCCTGTTATTCAGGAAGATGAGATGATATTCTAACTTTTTTCTTGTTCTTCTTCATCTAATGCAACAACAACATCTTCTTCAACTACTTCAGGTTAAGGGGAGTTTCCTCGAGTGTCAACAAGATCCACTTATAGATTATCTATAGTTGCTTGGTAGCATTCCTTCCCTTACTGTACGATTCACTGAGCGCGCCTAGTTGTTTCACCTATAGGAAACTTGAGTAACTGGTGGCACGTTGAGGGACGCGTTGAAAAATTTTATAGGAGGCCGCATCCCAAGATTGCCTTGTACGCAGACGAGCAGTCTGCCACGTGAAAATCCATGAGGCGTGTCTTTGTGATTCCTGCCTCTCCAATCGTCACCTTCATTGTGATGGACCAAACACTTGGATCTAGAGAACCCGACAAGGATGGTCTTTGAGGGCTTAAGGTCTTGAACTCTTTTCTTCATGCTTTTCAGGTTTGAATAGAAGAGGATATCTGCTGAGTTGCCATTGTGGATCAACACCCTTGTGAGCTTGAACTTCCTCGTTCTAAAGGAAATTATAAGTGGGTCTTCAGCTTTTCTTTTGAACGAGGCTGGAGGGGATCGCTCCCGTCTAGGTGACCTCAATCTTCCGTGTCTGGGCGTCCGAGAGCTTCTTCTAGGACTTTGAGACTTGTCTCTCCTCGCCACCAGCTTTTCCTTGTTTTGTCTTCTCGTATTTAGGTGGTTCCTCAAATCACCCGATGCTATTTGAGACTGACCTTGAATTCTTGACATTCTGTGGTGTTATGGGTTTCTAACTGATGCCAGTCGCACCACTTTTAATCTTCTCTCCTTCTTTACGCCTAATGCGCCTCTTGTGATCTGCCCCTTTCAGGGCGTCTATCTTCGTACTCATTGCTGGTGGTGAATACTTTGCGTCTATTGTATGATCGACGAATCTGGATTTGTAGCACCTTCTTTCTGGAATGCATCTGCACCTTTGAGGTGATAATGATCTTCATCTCTCCTTATCGTCAATTTTGGACCGAGTAACCTTTGGGCAATCTTCAAGCACTAAAGCTTCCTCCTGTACAGTTGCTTTTATCACAAGGTTGTTGAGATCAAGCCAGGACGCCAAGTTGTGCTCCTTCTTGATTGATGCGCTCTTTAGTTCGTGGCTATGTGTGGACATTCGAAGGTTGCTGGCCACCACACTTGGTGAAATCCTTGGACTTCACAAGTTATTGCATCCCACATGTCATAGAAGTTTGTTAGCGACTCGTCACTTTTTGCCTGCAATTAATGAGGGCTGACATAGTGAGTTTTCACCTTCTTTGGGATGCGAACTTGGACGAGAATAGCGTCAAGAACTACTTGAAGCCTTCAATTACCCCTTCGGGAAGAGAGGCGTACCAGGAAAATGACCATTGTATGTCACTGGGAATGCCATACACATATTAGTGTAAGATGCATTAGTTAGCTGGATTTTTAGCATAAAGTGCTCAGGTGGTCAGATGGGTTGGAATTATCGTTGTAAGTTTGTAGCCCTAGGGATGAGAAGTTAGAGGTGACTTGTGTCTTGCATAAGTTTTGCGCCAACGAGTTTTGGAGCACAATTGGGCCTTTGGCCTTCTCGTATGAGGATAAGAGATGCTCCCCTAAGAAGTTAAGGTTTAAATCTTTGGCGTCTTAACCTTTCGATGCCCCCCCCCCCCCCCCAGTATGTGCAGAGCTTTCATGGATTTTGACATCCGGCTCCTTCCCTCCCCATGGCTCTTTGTGTTGCCGACTCTTTCCTATTCGTTCATTGCACCTTAGAGCTTTCTGTTTTTTCTTTTGCCTTCAACAAGGATAGGATCTGGTTCAAGTTTTCTGGCATGCTTTATATTGGCTGACCTTGTCCCGTATCGCGGTCCTCCAGCTTTGTCTCTTCTTCCAATGTCGGCATAGTCATCCCTCGTAAAGTAGTCAAAATCCCGATTTAAATTAGAGAGATAAGTAGAAATTAGTGGTAGGTTTAGTGAGAGAGGAAGTATTTGAGTTACCCTCAATGCATACACAGGGGTATTTATACCCAATTGTTAAAGCTTATTACATTAAATGCGATGTCAAGCGTCCTAAGTAAGTCTCATGTTCAAGGAGGCCGCCTTTGGACAGTAATTTATGTTTAGTCGCACTCGTACTAAGGAACATATCTTCCGAAATCCTCCTCTCCTGTCACCTGTCATTCTAGCTACCTAGGTTTTATGTTAGGCGGCCTAGTATGAGTCCCATCTGAGAGTATGTCTCCTTTGTCGAAATTAATGTTGTGTTAGACTCTTATGCAGTCTCCAGTAACGCATTCTCTGAAGAGCATAAATTGGGCCTGACACAAGTTTAGTTTCCACGTGATCTTGAAGCCCAACACTACTCAACACGTGGCCCAACAGGTAGTTATAGAAAATTTATTAAATTGTATATATTTTGTATTAGTGGGGATTTTCTTATTAAATAATAACAAAACATATTTCCCTAAACATAATCTCTCTCATTCTTCTAGCTGAATTCCCCCCTCCCCTATATTCTCTGGAATCAGCCTCACTCCTTTCTGGAGAACCAACTTCTTCCTCTTGCCTTTCCACTACCTCTCTTCCTTCCTTACTTCAATCCCTAATTCCAACTCAATTCCCAATCCTCTATAAATGCCCAATCTACGAACTCTAGATGAACACGTCTACATTCGTAGTTCTTACACATTGTTATGATTGCTATGTTAGTGAACAATGGATGCATGACGAAATAAGATCTCTTAAAAAATGGATCAGAACCCCTCCCTTGAAAGTGGAATTTCCAATTCTTTATTTTGTTTTTTAATAATGGAATTTCCAATTGATTAAGCGTTTATTTAGGGGTCGTTTGGAAGTTGCGATTGTTTTGTTGAGATTGTCATTATGCATGTATTGTTTACAATGCATCGTTTTTTTGTTTTTTTAGCAAAAACAATACATTGATTGTTTCTATGATGTGACAGAAACTATCACTCATTTTGAGTGATTATTATATCTCAAGTTTTAGTTGTGATTGTTGAGATAGTTGAGTTGAGATAGTTTTGTCTCAGCTTTTAGCTGATGCGACATACACAATCACACATACCAAACGTTGTATTCTACAATGCATCAAATTCGACAATACATGCATTCTCAACAATATATCTATTTAACAATCGCAACTTCCAAACGGCCCCTTAAAAAGAAAAGACGGCGTGCTGAGACACTAGAACTGCCAATCAACAATCGACCTCCATCCCTATATAATGAACATGATTTATTGCATTCAGAATATGAATGACGAAGGGGAACGATGAGAACAATTTGCTACGTCATAAAAACAAGGTGAACATCTTTTTGACTTGAACCACTCTAAGACGATCAATGCGCATTACTACAAGTAGAACACAACAACAAATGTAGACAATGGTGGAATAGATACGCGCCACTTCTCATCCCTAACGTCTCCTTGATGACTTCCCTTTGGCCTTTGGGTCGAAATGGTGAGCTTTGAGTTTCTTCTTCTTTGGCAAACCAGTGGCACTACCACCGCCACCTTCCCTGAAGGGCATTCCCATCAAAGCCAACATTTTCTGGGCTTCTTGATCTGTGTTAGCTGTGGTTGAGATGCACACGTCCATTCCCCTAGGCTTTCCTGATAGATCAAACTTGATCTCTGGGAACACACCTTGCTCTCTTATTCCAATGCTGTAATTCCCGTGTCCGTCAAAGCTACTAGTGCTCACACCCTGGAAATCCCTTGTCCTTGGAAGCCCCAAGTTTATGAGCCTGTCTAAGAATGAGAACATCACCTGGTGGTTCAAGACCAACCAGAGTAGTGTCATACTTGGAGCAGGAAGAATTTATCCTGCCGATAGCAGTTGCGACCGGATAAGTGTGGGAATACAAAGAAAGATTATGCACTGTAGACTCACATTTCCTCTGAGTGTTACCGCGATTCCAAGTGGCTGACCCTCCCGGATCTTGAAAGTGGCAATGGAGTTCCGTGCTCGAGTTTTCACTGGTCTCTGGCCGGCAATCAGGGCTAAGTCGTTCATCGCTGCGTCCAGTCCCTTGGCATTCTGTGCAGCTTCCCCAATCCCACAGTTGAGCACAATCTTGTCAATTTTTGGAACCTAAACTTATAGCAGAAGAATGCCATACCCACGTCAGATACTCTGTTAATCATGGAATTAGCCATTTAAATAATATGGGACTTAACATGGTTGACGCGCGCATGAAGTTGGGGCACATCGCATCAAGGGAAGAACTTTAGCCTGATAGTCTAAACAATCTTGGAAGCTTTACTTGCAACTTGCAAGGCAGTCACTCAACTTAAGGGTGAACCGGAGCATTCATGAAATCTGCTAAGTTTTGTTGTTGTCAATTTTTGGAACCGGAGCACTCAACAATCGATGGTTTCGGAAGTTACTAGTCCTAAACTGTTCACAACAACCAAAAAAACTAAACCTAAATATTTTGAACGCCGATTTGCAAGAAAGCCAATCTTATCTGATTCTCCAAGCCCAGAATTCGATCCAAACAAATTTCAGATAAATGATGACAGAATTGGATATTAGAAAGAGGTGCAGGCCAGTGCCGGGAGGAAAAGAGAAAACCCACTCGCACCTGATGAATGTTAGAGTAGGAGAACTCTTCCATGAGAAGAGGAACAATTTTTTCGAGGTAAGTGGTCTTCAGGCGATTCACCTTCTCGGCTTCCGATTTCTCCAACAGCACAATCTCAGCAGTCGCTCTCACCGAGACCAACCCGTTGCCGTTTCGAGAGTTTCTTCTCGACGGGAGTCGCGTGGCCGCCGGAGGGGAAAATATAAGGGGCTGACCGCGAAATGCCACCGCAGCGGCGGAATGTAGGAGCGAAGGAGACGCCATCGAGAAGGGAGTTAATTTCGGCGAGGAATGTGGCGGTGGCCAGAAGATAAAGTATGCGGCGAGAAGGACGGTGGGTGAGGTTTTAGGATAAAAGGGTATACGGAGGATTGTATTATCTACGGAATTGCCATTGAGATTAATGACACAAATATTGTTTTTTTAAATTTATCACAAATATGGCGTATTAAAAAGTATTGACACAGATATTGTGTTTTGGAGAAAAGAATCGGCGAGACCACCTGAGACTCAGGCGCTGCTGCTTTAGCTGGTTTTTTTGACAGTTTTATTAAATTGACAGCGGCAACGCCCAAGACTCAGGCGGCAAAGCCCAAGACTTAGGCGGCACCGCCTGAGACCTAGGCGAGTAGGTGGGAATCATCCCAGGCGCTGGCGCCCGAGACTAAGGTGGCGCCGCTGGCTTATTGCTGGCCACCCACCTTATAAAAAACCCAGCCAATTTCGTTTCAGATTCACACCACAAAAAAAAATCGTCCAAAATAGAGGAGAGAGCTCTGGTTGCTGCTGCAAAAATGGCTAATAGGTAAGAGACACATTTATTTTTGTAATTATATTATTCAAATGCTATTATGATTGTGTTTAGTTTTAATTAGCGAGTTTGTTTTTTTGTAGTGATTTTAGAAGATTTGAACTAATCGTTCGGTGGAAATCGGAGAAAGTAGAGGATAATTTGGGCGTCCAATTCGTTGGTGGTAGTAGTTTTCAGTTGACGGTTCCATCCAGGGTCACATATCACAAACTTTGTGAGAATCTAATTCCGAGAATACGGCGCAGAGACGAAGCAGTACAAGATAGTGATGTGATCACAGGTTTCACTTACCGTCTTCCAGAATGGCAGAATGGTGTTTAATTTCATTATGCGATACCTATTATGGATGATGATAGCTTGAATGTGCTTTGGAATTTTATGGCACAAAATCCTTATTGTTTGGGTGCTGAGATACATGTTGAGCTCAGTGAGAATCAGGGTGGAGAGGAAGAAGGTGATACATGGAGCGTGCCATCCGATCATGACTATGATGACGGTGATGACAGAGAGGAGGAAGAGGAGGAGGAGGAGGAGGAGGAGGAGGAGGAGGAAAAGGAAGAGGGGGAAGGAGAGCAGCTTAATTATCCTCCATATTTTTACTTGCAGGGTAATGAAGAGGACGAAGAATTATCACTTGCTGATTCATATGGCGTAATTCCAATGCCTATTGTTGATAGTTTTGAAGGAGAATTCTACAAGGGGCAGATATTTCACTCGAAACAAGGTGCACAGATGGCGATTAAACACCACGCACTACAACGCAACTTTCAATATGGCGTGGTGGAGTCGTCACCTTCAATCTGGAAGGTCAGATGCTTGAGGCACAAGGATGACAATTGTCCTTGGATGGTGCGGTTTGGATGTCGAGATGTTGGAGGCGAATGGACTGTGAGAAAGGCTGAGTTGGTGCATTCTTGTAGCAGTACGACTCAATCGACGGATCATCGCCATCTTGACGTCGACATGATATCTGAGGCCGTCAAACATTTGGTACATGCCCAACCAAATCTGAGTGTTCTAACTGTTCAGGCCGAGTTGAAAGATAAGTTTAATATGCAAGTTACTTACAAGAAGGCTTGGTATGGGAAACAAAGAGCATTGGAGATGAAACACCCTAACCCGGACGGGTACTACTTTTACTAAAATGCCCTTGATAAATAAAATACTCAAATCTTAAATTTCAACTGGGAAAAAATTTCATAAACAAAATACTGAAAACACACACTTGAAGTTCAAAGCAAATCCCTAACACGTGGGAAAATTAAACTCAATCTTTAAATCTCAATCTGAACTCAAAGTAACCTCCAGTCCGTACTCACAATCATATAACGTAATACTAACTAGTCTCAACTGCTGTTGCTGCCCCTCACTAGCTAGTCCGGTTACCAGCTCATACGTATGAGAAGCCATTCGGCTTTCCTTAAACTTAAACTTAGTTAGGTAAGTCGTAACGATTCATCCCCCTAACATCTTAAACTTATCGTGGTGGTTCTTCACCACGATTCTCAAGGGCATAAGTACTGCCCATCTTAAAAGTCTCAAGAGCATAACTGCTGCTCTATCTCAAAATATCTCAAAAGGCAACGGACTGGCGCTAGTGACTAAAAACACTTAAAACGACTTCACCTTCCCGAAGGTGGGTTATTTCTTTAAAAAGAACTTGTTTCTTAAACTTTAACAATAACTTATACTCATAAAATTTTCAAGGTAAATAATAACCATTCACTTCAAGTCATAAGTCAAACAAGGCACATATCATCAACCATAATCATGCAGTCTCAAACATGAATCAAATAATGCACACGTAAATCAATACTCGAAAATATTTAAGACAAATACTTGAAAACCGTAAGGCATAGAATTTACCCCCTTTATACTCACCTCCAACAGACGACCCTTCTTAATTGCCAGTTGATCCACGTCACCACTCGAACCTCCATGCTCCAACTCCTCGTGCTTTAACTCCTCTTGCATTTCCTCCTATCGAGTATTTAGGCAAAACTTAACCCACGTATCTCTAAGCGTAACGACCGAAACGACCTTCAATTTGGTTAATTCCAATTCCAAATCCCCCCATTTAATCTTTCCTAGGATTCCCCATAAAATTCTGGAAAATTACCTTTTTTCCCTAAAATGGTAAATTACCAACTGGTACTCGAATTCCTGGGTCTCATCAGTTCGGCCCCAAATTTCCAGAATTGCACAATCTAGTCCTCCAGGCCAATTCCCACTTTCTGATTTTGACATTCTGGTCCAACCGGCATATTTCCAATTCAATACCCAAACATTTACTAATTGAGAACTCATCCCCAAGCCCGGTCAATTACTTTACGGCGCCTAAACTTCCAAAATCTAACAAATCTCCCTAGTTCCGAAAAGACCTATACGCCCCTAACTGTTTATCAAATTTTCAATTGGATGCCATTGACCTCCAAAAACACGGGAGGACACTCACCTGTACATCGCCGCTGCCGTCGACGTCGAGGTTCCGGCCACCGTCGCCGTTGTCCACCCCTCGATCCCCGAACCCACAACAGTCGCATTCCTCCGGCTCCTCTTCTTCCTCCTCGGGCAAAGCCTCGCCTGCCACCGTCGGCGAGTGAAGCTTCTCACTGCCGCTAAGCCCGTCGCTATTCCTCCCGCCGCAATTCGGAGGCCATCTCCGAAAAGCCCAAATTCTCGGACGCTTGGGAGGATCTTCACGCTACCTTATTGTCGCTTCTAACTCGTCCCTCGTCCTGCTGCCGTCTAAATCAACGCCAATCACCCTTAATTGCAAACCTTGCCTTTATTGTTTCCGTTTAATTTTTTTCTACACTTCCCGGCGAGTTTTCAGTTTCCATTCCATAACTGCTTTGTTCTTTCCCTGGTGGTCGACTTTCCCAGAGAGAAAATGACGATTCTTCTCTCCTTCCTTGTCCCAAACGGGCTTCAGCCCACTTCCTCCTCCTATCTCCCTTTTCCCCTTCTCTCCAGCCCGGCCTAAAGGCCACTATCTCCCTCACTCGGGCTAAGCCCATTCCGTTTTCACCCCTTTCTTTCTTCTGCTCATCGCCCACCACACAAGGGCTTGGCCCAGTTCTTTCCCCTTCTCTCTTATGTCCACCAATGGGCCGCCCATGGAGGCTATGACCAAGCCCACTTGGCCAATGGAGAACCATTAGTAGAACCACCACACTCAAAACCCACTTAATTGGATTTTTGGTTCAAACCTCAAAATACAACTTTAACTTCCTCGTTTTACAACGAAACTCGACGCCATTCGAACCGTTAGTTCATGTTTGAGTCCTCTTAAATATCAAGGTTGGATTTAACAATTTTTCCAAGGGTATATTGTCATTTTGGATTGTGAAAAGAGCGGGGTGTAACAGGAGAAGTTGCATGGAAATTGGGAAGAATCCTACGATTTTTTGCAAACATTCTTGCGGGTGGTCAAGAGAAAAATGCCAACATCGGTGATTGATTGGGTAAGAGTTCCTTCGACTCAACCAGGTCATTCAATATTTCAGCAAGTATTCTGGGCTTATGGACCTTGTATAGATGGATTCAAGAACTGTCCAGGCGTCAAGGTTTTTGATGGAACATTTCTTACTGGGAAGCATAAATGAGTGCTACTCATGGCGAGCTCATTTGATGGCCGGAAGAAGATTTTTCCAATTGCATTTGCCATAGTGGAGAGCGAGAATACTGAGAGTTGGCCATGGTTCATGAGGAACGTTCAGGGTTTGACTGATCGAAATGATGTATGCATCATCTCAGATAGACATGCAGGACTCTATGAATCCATGAATAACATCGGAAGAGGTTGGGAGTGGAGGTGGTGCATGCGACACTATGCAAGCAATTTGCAAAGGAAGACTAAAAGCAGAATTATGTATAATCAACTATTTCGATTCGGTAAGCTTTCTTCATTTAATTTTGTTATTTGTTTTCATGTAATTTTGTCATGAATTTATCTAACCCGTGTGGTGGTTTATTTTGTTAGCCGGAGAAAAACGGTTGGAGAAGTTTGATCGTCAAGTTGAGCAATTTAAGAAGGTGGCCGCTGATAGAAATATTTCATGTGATAACTGGGTGGATCAACATCAGATTCGTTGGAGTTTAGCACATGATAACTACAATGGTGGGCGTCGTTGGTCTATCCTGACATCCAACATGGCAGAAAGCGTCAATGGTATTTTCAAAGGTATTCGTGCACTTCCTATAGCTTCTCTTGTGCAACATACCTATTGGCGATTGGTGGAGAAATTCGATAAGTACAGGTTGGAGACAGGAGCAGAAATTAGAAGTGGTCCTTCACAGTACTCCACCAAGTGCGAAGAGCTGATGAAGCCGTGGTCACAAAAGGCAGTTGGACATTCTGTGACAGCTCTTGATCGACGTCAAGGCATCTATGTAGTTCAGACTCCTCTCAACAATTTCAACATGACAGGGTCAAACACACTCACAGTTCACTTTGACGATCAAAACCGGGCGGGATTTTGCACATGTGGTAAATTTCAAGGAAATAAAATTCCTTGCTCTCATGCCATTGCAGCTTGCAACCGAATGGGGGCTAATGCGTATAGGTTTGTCAACGATGTCTACAAGCTGGAAACAATGATGGCTTGTTATGGGACAAGTTTCGCACCTCTTGGTGAACCTAAGGGTTGGAAGAAGCATAATGGTCCTATTCTCCATCCTAATGTGCACATGATTAGGAAGCCGGGGAGTCCACGAGTTACAAGGATTCACAACGAGATGGACTGGCCAAGGGAGGGTGCATCACACCAAGTGTGTAGCAACTGTAACCAAGCGGGACATAATGCATCAACC